GATACTTTTAAACATTATGTTCTGCCCAGTTTTGAAACTTTTGGGGAGTTTTGAAATTATGACCCAAAGTTTCGATACTCTTGAAAGAGTATTGATACTCTTACCCAGAAACTCCCGAATTTGCCCAAAACGAAGAACAAGTATCGATACTCTACCTGCAGAAGTCATAAAACACATACGAAAATGTTATATTTCAATCCCAAAGACCATAGTGAGGTGCCCAAACATTCTTTAAAGTCTTATGTGATTAAATAAGGTTGTATACCATGCTTATAACATAAATCATGTAATCTATTATTAACATATAACACTAAGATTCATAATTTACTATCAAGTTAGAAATCATTTATAATAATCACTAGGACTATGAAAGAGTTGACAGTGTGTTACCTAGCCTCCTTGGTTGCTAAAATCTCCCTCAACTCAACTAGGAGTCACCTTACCTTTACCATTTGCTTTAGAACTTCACCCACCTAATTGGCTAATCAAAACAAAACAAGGGGTTACTAACTTGTCTTTGACTTGGAAACTAAGTTAAAACACTCTATACTACTTAATATTACTCAAAACAAGCTTAAATCTCTAGGTTCCTTTCAAACTCCCAAAAACCCATTTTGAAAAAAATTTCTAAAACTCACAAAATGGAGCTTGAAACAAAGCTTGAGGGATGGAGAGAAACATTCTTACCTTGGCTAAACAAATCTAAGATTGGAATGCTTGAAACTTGATTCTTGAAAGGAAGAAGAGGAAACTAATGGAAGGAAGAAGAAGAAGAGTTGATGAGATATTATGGAGAGTTTGGTTACGTGAAATGATATAAAAAGAGGGAGAAAATTTTCAGCTTCAACAAAATGGGAAACTACACTTTAGGTCCTTCCCCTCTTAACTCACTTTAAAATTATCTCTTAGCTTTAACAAAATGGGTAAACTACCTTAGGCTCAACACCTATATAACTTGGTCCAACTATCTTGGGAGATCTAATTGGCTTGACTTAAAGGTTTTCGGTTGACCCAAACTACTAACCAAGATTTCGGGGTATTACAAGATCTGCAGCCATAAGTTGGGATAGATCTCATTCGACTCCCTTAGACTCAACTTATGATTTTGTAGGTACAAAAGTCGGAAGTAAGTCGAGTACTCTATAGTTAGCAGATGGAAACATACATCATGGAGGAGAAATCTTAATATTATTTGGAGTTAACTTCGAGCTCTATGAGCAAGGTCGAGAGGCGTCACTACATCTGTCAGACTTTTAAAGATATCTAAAACACTTAATCTGTTAAGTGGTCAGAGGTGTGTCGACGCTTATGTTACAAAGGATCTTTGCGTCTTTGTGTATGCATTAAAAGTTTTAAATTCTGGTAGAGTTATCTATACGCCCTTGCAGAGGATTCTCAACACTCATTAAAGTTGCGGAGATATTATTGATGCTTCAAAATATGACATACACAAGTGTTTTGATGCTCCGGTATAAATATAAGTGGAGATATTTTGACGTTGTAATACTTCGAATCAAATCTCAACGTAATGGCAAAGCGAAGACATCTTTGTCATATTTAGTTGCAAAAGTTTTTTTAGTTGCAAAAGTTTTGTCATATTTTGACATACACGAATGTATTAATTATGTTATTTGCATGATTTTTTTATAATTATGTGAGGACTTACTTGAGAAGTTGTCAAGGGTGTGCCTCCCAGTGTTTAGGGTCGGATGACGATTGTTGAAGTTACCACAACAGAGGAGAGCTGCGGCGTTTGCGCATCTTAAAGGCATTGCAACATTAATGTGTACTAAGAGATAATGTTCTTGTTATAAATTTGCTTTAGATATGACCAAGATATTTTCAAAAATACCACCATCGGTATTTCATCTATACAAATTACTAGCCACAAGGTTAAGAGCGACATTGAAAAACTTTTAAGCATGTCGATAGATTGTGGACTTACAAGGATGTTTGAGTAGAAGATAAAAAGTTTTATCTCGATTAATTCTTTTTTGTCGAGAGATATTTTACACCCACCGCACTAATTGTTGATCGGAATAGTTTGGTTATGTCTGTCATCGGTGGTTCACTCATTTTGATTTGCGCAAAGATCACTTAACATTGAGAGAACACTTATTGGTCGATTTTTTTCTCGTGAGAGAGATTATATGTAGATTGTAGAAGGTTTGTCCTCCCTTATTAGTATTCGCTGAGGTATATTTATAATGAGTCTTAGCTGGTGATGTCGTTCATAAGGTAATTATGATTATTTGTAGGTTAACGAATTAAATAGATTTATTAGTCAACTCTTAGATTTTACTTTAATACGTCACGTGGACATGTCAGAGCTTTTGTTCATACACTATGGTTGACTCGGAGGGGCTTGTGCTTGGAGGATGTGGACTTTGTGGAGGCTTCGGTAAACGGATGAGTCTGTCCGAGGATTTTAACTAGCGATAATATGATAGTTTTTCAAAACTATCTCTGAATGTATAACAAATTGATATTTATCTTTTTAAATAATATATTTATACTTTTTTAGAAAGAGAATGTTGTTCAACCATTATATAAATTTTTTTTATATAAATATTTTGAGGTCACGATTAAGGGTGTTCAAAAATATCCGATTTGGATAAATCAGATAACCCGACCTGTTGACCCATCAAAAAATCCGGATACTTTTTTTTAAAAAAATCAACATCCAGGTCAGAAACCTGGCCCGACATTTCCCAAGTTAGACCCGGGTTACAAAATTAAATTTTTTTCGATTACCTGGTAACAATTTTTTTATATATAATACTACATATTTAATTATTAATAATTTTATATATTAAATTAAACTAAAAAAATTATAAAAAAAAACGTTCATTCTCGAAATTGGAATTCCCATAATTGAAATCCCTAAAACCGTAAAACATCCATTCCTTCCTCAAGCTCCACCGCTCCAGCCTCTAGCAGTGCACTCTCGGTTCGTAGTCGTCAACGGTTGCCAGCTCATCACAACGGAAGGAGAAGAAAATGAAGAAGAATTTAGCTCTTGCTCCCATTGCAAAGCCACTCGCTGGCAAAAATCTATGTAAGAAAACCCTCAAGCTCATCCGCAAAGGTTTTTTTTTTCCTTCAATTTGTTCTTTTAATCAAAATCATTATATGCTAATTTTAGCCATGAACAGAGAAACCCAAAGCTGTAATTCAATGAAAAATATTCAGAAATAAATTTATAATAATCTGTGATATGATCTTAATTTTGGAAATTGTTGAATCTTTTTAGATCAATCATCTACTAATTAGCATTAATAGAGATATCAATCGCATGATTTCAATCGATTAAAAACTATAAATTTCTTGTTTTTTGATTAAATTTTCATCAAAAAGTAAAACATTTTTGAAACAATAGTAACAACGATTAAGTCGGTTTTGATAGCAAATTTACTACCTGCATTGATTGTTCCTTTTGCTCTTCAAGACAATGGATTTGTCCCATTTGATTTTGAATCTGAATTTCCTCACGATTCAACAGCTTCCGAATTTTTCTACGAACCTGAGTGTTTTTCTGAACCAAATCTTCAAAAACTCTTGTTTTTAGAATATGGATTTACTCAAAATTACCCATAAACTCGAAATCTGTGTATATATTTTTTAAATTAATAATTTAAAAATGATACAAAAAAATATCTGGTATATTACTCAAATTAGCCGGGATACAAGCCGACCAATCAAGTACCCGAAAATCTGGGTACCCAAAACTTCGAGTAACAACAAACCCAGTACCCGAAAATCTGGGTACCCAAAACTTCGAGTAGCAAAAAACCCAGGTACCCGGATTTGAACCTAATCACGATTATGTATAAATGAAGTCTCATTTTGCTTCAATTATCATTATTATTTTTATGATCGAGGAGCTTGGGATATATTAAATTCCATGCTAAGAGATCATGATGATTTGGGTTTAAAGGTCGGTGCCACTAAATTCACATGTTACATCACAAAGTAGACCTACAATCTCTTTTAAATTGATTAGTTTTAATTTTAATACATATATTGTTATATATATTGAAATCATTATTTCGTTAAACTACTTAAATAATACTACATTTTAATCTTGATATATATATATATATTTAATTAATTAATAAAATAATCAACAAATAATTGATAAAGTGAGATGATATACTAGATTTTTTAAATAAATAAAATGAAAAACTTAAAATCTTGAAATTGTGAATAAATTAAAAGGTAAATTATGTATTTAGTACCTTAACTATCAATTTTGATTCATTTTAGTACCTAAACTTTTAATTTTTAAAAATCATACCTAAAGTTCAATTTTTGTTTCATATTAACACCTTAGTACCTAAACTTTTAATTTTTAAAAATCATACCTAAAGTTTAATTTTTGTTTCATATTAGCACTACACCATTAAAAACCTAACGCATTTAATACTTAAAACATCATTTTGATCTATTTAAGTACCCAAACTTTCAATATTTTTCAAGACATAAAATTAAATTTTAAACGAGATACTAAAATGAAACAAAAACTAAATTTTATATATGAGTTTAAAATAATTGAACATTTAAGTACTAAAATAGACCAAAATTAATAACTGAGATATTAAATGCATAATTTACTCTAAATTAAATTGAGAGAATAACCCTTAACAGAGTCACTCCCATAAATATCCTCTGGTGGGTCAATAGTAACGGTGAAGATGACAAAGATTCTTTTGGTAGAGTTGGTGTGGGAAGGGTGTAAGATATAAAGAGAATCCCATTGAAAAATTTGTTGAATTAATCGATCTAGTAGGATAAATCACTAGATCTCTTAAGCAAGATTTGAATCCTGACAGTTGTAAATAGAATAAATTGAGTTAGAAAGGTAACATTTGCCTCTATAATATTCGATCCGGATTAGTCGATCAATAAATCATATATCGATGGTTATACCCATGGAAAAAAGGATTTATTGCCGCAAATGGAGGTTTTGGATTAAACTGTCCTTGAAGAAGGGGATTGCATGGATTTTAGAGAGGAACTGGTTGCCATTGAATATATTGAATTCACAATTCTTTCAATTGTTGCTTTCATCAAGTGATGGTAACAAAGAACTTGATCAAATGGAGTTCCATTGGAACAAATTCAAAAAATATATACCCCAATCATCAAGCAAAATCCTTGCATAATACCCATATGGTGAACACATTTCCCTGCAATCAGAAACATCAATTTTTCTCTTACCTTTCCATCATGTATAATCTAAAAAAATGTTTCATATATAAATACCCAAATAGGGGGAAACCTAAAACCCACACAAATTTACATGGATTAATCATTTAACAAATCCCAATTATCAGACCCACCTAAAAATAAATCTTTTTTGTTACCATATCACATCATCAAACTAACAATAATTAACGATCTAACAATTAAATTATAACAAATTGACAATATAAGTAACCAAAATATAATTTTTTATAAATTAATTATCAAAACTAGACAGAATCAAAACAAAAGTGACCAAATTTGTAATTCACTCGAATATAAAGAACTGGTGATATAAATGTTTTGTGCAAAATCTAAAAACTATAAATTTCAGCTTTTGGGAAAAAATGACCTTAAAAATTACATGTTTATTATTTTTAGTCCTAAAAACAGTTTTGAAAATTATAGAATATAAAAGCCCAAGTCTTGTTGTCTCGTTTGCAACTTTTTCTTCTTCTTAAAGTGCATTATAGTCTAACCTAGGTTGTCGTAATAGGGTTGTAAATGAGCTAAGTTGAGCTCGAATATTGTTATGCTCGATTTGACTCGAAAAGTTCAATGCTAATTGCTAAGGTCGAGCTGACTCAAAAAGTTTAATTTTGAGCTGGCAACACAACCAGCAAGCTTAAAATTATCAAGCTTGTCATATATACTACTGCAGTCAATTGTGGAAGGGACTTGAAAGCTTTTTTTTTTTTGGATTCGGTTCAATTGTTTAGACAAATAGGTTATACTAAAGCTATAGCATAGGCCATAGATCATAAAACTCAATCAATAGAGGTGAGTATCTGTCAAATTAAAAGGGTAAACTGCCATGCCAGAATCCAGATCCAATTTCTCTAGCCACAGATAGTAAAATTTACTGAAAGCTTATCCTCAGATCCACATATGGTTTAATCTCTTTAACAAGAATATATATCCTCTAAAATGAAATAACCATGAAGCTCAACATGAATGAACCGAACCTCATTTGTCGAGCTCCATTGCTTGAGCTGCTTTGGCTTTAGCAGCTTCAGTTAACTTGGTCTTCAATTTCCTCTTCCCTACTTGAAAGCCGCTTCCACCTTTATTCTTTTTCTTCCCATTACCATCAACCTACACATACCCATTATATAAATCCTTAAATAAACAAAATTAAAACAGAAATTTATTACCCAATGAAAGAGTAACAGTCTCACCTTCATCTTATTCTTCTTTGCTTGAAGCTTCTTAGCCTTCTTCTCCTTCTCTTCCTTCTCCCCTAATTTTCCAAGACAAATACAAAATCGTAAATCACTGCATAAAAAAACAGAGAAAGAGAGGAGTAAATTGAAGAATTTCCTACTTCTGAGATCGAAATCGTGTTGTCTTTTTCGACGAGCTAAACTATTCTTCTTCGACATATTCCTCTGTTGGCTCCGCCTTTGAGGCGACTGTTCTCTCTTCCTCTTTTTTGCCTAAACCCTAACCTCGCCTTTATTTGATTTTTGAGAAGGCTAAAGAACAGCAGAAGTCACTGGACTACTTCAAAATAATGTTTTTGGACATTTAAACTTTTAAATGTTACAAAATAATTATTAAACTTATCAAATTGATACAAAATGGTCTATGTAATGTTATAAACAATAATAAATTTTGATAAATTTAATGATAATTTTCTAATAATTTGATAAGTTTAGTAATTATTTTAGGCTAACATCACAAATAAATACTTAAATTATACTATATTTTTATTTAAGTATCTAAAATATTTTTTAGTTAAAGTAAGTATCTAAAATTATCATTTTAATCAAAATAGGTACCAAAATTTTCCTTCCACGTGAAACATTAGTGGCCAAAATGACTATTTGTGCTAACATTGCAACAATGAACGTTCAATTACTCTTGATTATGTTACTAGTGCTCGAACCCATAATTTCTAAAAATAACAATCATTTTTTAACCAGTGAGGTAATTTGTTCATGCAATTTAGTTATTAGTTTAGTGTTTCAACTTCATAAAACAAATCTTTTAGTTTGTAAAATGTTGGCGGTTAGTATCTAGTGAAATGTGAATTAGTTACTCTAATGAACTCATCAAGTGACTTCAATGATGAAAATGAGTATTGTCATCCTTAGAAATCTTAAGTTCGAGTAGTTGCGTCTGTAGGATGTATACATGTTAAGTTGGAATGATAGAATCTTGATTATTTACTAGTGCTAGTAATGTAGCTTTTGCTTTTATTTTGTGAAATGCTTATATGATTAACAAATGAAAGACAAATAATATCGTTTTCTTAAAAAAAAACAAAACGAAATTGAATTTTCTTTAGAAAATTAAACCTATGGCTTGAATGCAAGTAGGGATGGCAACGGGCCGGGTTCGGGTCGGGTATTGGTCCCCCCGTCCCCGTTCCCGTTTAAAAAATCGGTACCCGTCTCCGTTTAAAGAACCGCGGGGAAACGGGTATCCCCGTTTAGCATAAACGGTTATTTAAACGGGTATTGGGCCGGGTATTGGGTCGGGTATTGGGCCGAGAATCGGGTCGGGTATATATATATATTTAAATTAAATATATAAATATATATTTTTTATTTAAATTAAATTTATTAATATTATATATATATAAATAATTATTTTTAATATTTATCGGGTCGTGTATCGGGGCGGGTAATCGGGGCGGGGATTACCAAACCCGTCCCCGTCCCCATCCCCGTTTAAAATAAATGGGTTTTCCCCGTCCCCGTCCCCGTTTATCATCCCTGAACCCGACCCGTTTAATTCGATTTTCAGTTTTCCCAGTCGGGTTCGAAATTTTTTGCCATCCCTAAATGCAAGAAATTGTTTAATTTTTTCTAGCTTAGTTTTAAATTATTAATGGGGCCGCAAGCGCTCAAACGACACCGTTGACTTGTTTTATTCTAGTGGACCTGGTTTATACGACGACGTTTCGTTCGCTTAAGTGGTTTCACCGCTCATTATGGTCAAAAGATTCAAAACGCGATAATAAGCTGAAAGCCAAACAAAATATGGAAGAGGCTGGAAAATTTTTCTAATTTCAAAACCCTGACGTCCGACACATAGCTCTCTGCAAGCTAACTCTAATCTTCTCCTTTAATCGATGGCACTAAAGGCTCAAAACCCTAGATACCCGGTTTGGAAATCAACGGGCTGAATCGGACCCGAGTCCGATGAGGACTTGGAGGAGCTGGAATCGGAAGTGAAGAAAATGACGGAGAAGATTCTAGAATACAGAACTGCTAAACCAGATCAGCTAAAGCTCGCTCTCGATTCAATTCTTTCTAGTCAAAGACCCAATTTGCCCCACATTGATGATGGGTTGGAGTCTGGACCATCCGCAGGTACGATTATTTAAAAAAAAATTGGGATCGATAGACCCTTCTTGATGACTGAACTAAGTTTTGCTTTCAATAGATTCAAAAGAGATGGAATTAGATGAAGAACCAAGGACGGACGAGAAGATACGGTTAGTCAAAGGCAAAATTCCGAGCAACATTTCAGCAATGCCGGTTGTTTTGGTAAGGATCAAAGAGTGTATTTCCAGGATTGAGAAAGCTAGACTCTTGCAATGGAATAATCATGCATCCTGGCTTTAAACAGAGAACATTGGTTGAATCAATGGAGGTGTATATGTAGATTGCGCCCCTTCCCCCATTGCAGGTATGGTTATGGTGTAATTACTTGAAGATGTTGGTTTTTAATGTGATAATATTACATAGGGAGTATCATTGGCTGTAATGAAATGCGATTCCTTCTTATTTTCTCAACCCTAGTTGGGGGGTTTTGTTTGTATTAAAAACCCCTTCTACCAACATAAGGTTGGGGTCCTATAAAAAGAAAAGAATGTCCACCAATCAATTAATCACAAAAAACCGTATCGTTTTTACATCAACCTCGATGAATTCGGGATAATCAGAATCAAAGGAGAAAAAAAAAGCAACATGATGCAAGAGAGCTTGTCTAACTAAAACATGAGTCACTCTATTAGCCTCTCGACATATATAAACCACCCTGCTAGTTCCTACATTGATCACGAGTAGAACGTAAATAGACTCTGATGGTAGACTCGTCCAGTTCCACATTATTAAATTTATTCACAACGGTAGTTGAATCACTACGATGTAATAGACTGTAACTCAAACTTGAAATGAACATTTTATTACTGGAACCATAAAACTTGTTTTATTCATTAAAACAAATACATGCACAGTTTTAAAGCTTTGATTCAACCGCAGTGTTGGAAGAGTGGGGGTGGGATGTTTGGTTTATCTTAGGCGGTGCTTCTTGAGATTAAGATAAAACAACCTGCAAATCATCAAAACAATCAACAGGAGAGCAAAACTATATTCTAAGTCGAAAACTTTGTTTTTATTATTGGGTAAATTACGTGTTTAGTATCTGAATTATTAGTTTTGGTTTGTTTTAATACCTTATTTTTTTATTTTTTTCAAAACTATACCCAAAGTTTAGTTTTTTTTTTTATTTTGGTACACCATTTAAAACTTAATTTTAAGTTTTGATTTTTTTTAAAGTATATGTACTGAAACTGACCAAAATTGATAGTTTAGGTATTAAACGTGTTAAATTTTTAACGATAGGGTACTAAAATGAAACAAAAATTAACATTAGGTATGGTCTTGAAATATTTGAAAGTTTAAGTACTTAAATGAATCAAAATTGATAGTTCAGGTACTAAATATGTAGTTTACCCTTTATTATTTTTGAATTATTTTCAAGTTTTAGTTTAGAAAAGTTCAAAAAAGTAAAAATTAAAACGATGTTTTTATCTTTAGTTAAGTTATTTGATTGTTTCGTTATTTGATTCTTAGTTTTTTTTCTTCTTTAATTCCTCATTCCTCATTCGTTTTAAGTTTATTTTTTTTATTAAATTTTAATCACAAGCTCCTCAACCACAGTAAAATATATAACATTGATTTTTCTTCTTTTTTATTAAATATTCTCTTTTTTATCATTTAATCCATCAATTTTATGTTTTTTTCAATTTGATTTTCTAACTGTAATTTTTTAAAAATTCTTTTTATTGATATTTTTACCTCAAAATTCCTTATTTAAAAGTAACATTATAAATATATTGTAAAATTGTACATGATATTTAATTTATTAAATAACATTATAAGTTTTACTTACACATAAAATTATAAAATATACATTATATACTTAGAAAGAGTTATTCAAATTAGAACTAATCAATGCCATAACATTATAATTAATTACTATAACATCCTAAATATGATTATCATTATATAGGCCTAAGATGTCACATCAAACTATTGAGGAAACTACTATTTTTTCATTTTAAAACATAACATGACTTAGAAAAATAAAACATCTAGAATACTTATAAAATATTTATATAAACTAAAGTTACGTGACACATAATTTAAAATAAAATATTATAAAACTCTCACTTGAAAAAATAATAATTCAAAAACAATCTTTAGGCTCTACATTGGCCCAATAAAACAATGGACCGAATCAGTTGGATCCATTTATTTTCACTCAATAGTTAAGTGAGTGTATATGTGCATGGATGCGAATGGAATCATTCCAGATTGCATACTTTCCGGATAGCCAACTCACAGTCTTCAAAACAAGCAAAAATGGGTTTGACTAGCAGGTAGAAACAAGCTCTCTAGCCGATTCATCCATGGCTTTTCTTCTAATATTTTTCTCTTCTTTTCCTTTTCTAATTTTAATCCAACCGCTATCAGAAGGGTAGTTGTAGAACAAAACCCAAACCCCACCACTAAACTTCTCCAATCTCACTTACCCCAAATCCTAGTACCGTTCTCTGCTTTCTTGAATCCCCTTTTATGTTTCAAAGTTTTCTCCTTTTTATTTTTTTATATTTTATTTTCACTTTTTATTGGAGCTTTTATGTGGGTAACTTTTGTTTTCTTGTAGTTTCCTGTTGATCAGCTGGGATTCCTTCTTCATCTTCTCCTTTGGTTGATGGTTGGACCAACTTGGGATTTCAGAGCCTACTAGTAATCCCCTTTGAATGCTTCCTTTGAATACTTAAATCGCTTTATTAAACCAGTTTTAGCTGACCTTAAGTTGCCCTTGTACAATTTTCCACCATTGATTCAGGGGGGGAAAAACCCTGCTTTTGTATCTGTTTCATGTTACTTAATCTTTAGATTGATCCCTTGCATGTTATTAAATGTGTTTGATTCATAGGGGAGCCCATGTCAATCGCCTGTTGCTGTCCCATCCTTGAATGTGTTTACTGTTTAGCCTGTGCTCGTTGGGTATGGAAGAAATGTCTATATACTGCAGGCCATGAAAGCGAGCACTGGGGTTTAGCCACAGTGGAAGAATTCGAGCCGATACCACGCCTTTGTCGTTTAATTCTAGCTGTTTATGAAGATGATCTTCATAACCCTCTTTGGGCACCCCCTGGAGGCTATGGAATCGATCCTGATTGGGTTTTCTTAAGAAGAAATGACCAAGAAACTCAAGGCCGAGCCCCGCCTTACTTCATTTATTTGGATCATGATAACGCTGATATTGTCTTGGCTGTTAGGGGACTTAACTTGGCAAAGGAAAGTGATTATGCTGTTTTGCTTGATAACAAATTGGGGCAGACAAAATTTGATGGTGGATATGTGCACAATGGGTTATTGAAGGCTGCCGAGTGGGTTTTCAATGCTGAGTGTGAGGTTTTAAGGGAATTGGTTAAGAATCATCCTAGCTACACTTTGACATTTGCAGGTCATTCCCTTGGGGCGGGATTGGTGGCCTTGTTGGCAATGGTTGTAGTTCAAAATCGTAGCAAATTGGGAATCACGGACAGGAACCGGATTAGATGCTATACCATTGCGCCTGCTCGGTGTATGTCACTCAACTTGGCAGTTCGATATGCAGATGTAATAAACTCGATAGTGCTTCAGGTAAATTTTTCGTACTATACATTGTATTTGTTGTATATGTGGACTTGATCTTTGACTTGATCATGTCAAATTTGGCTACAAAGTTTAGGGCTAGATCAACATACTCGAATGTCTATTGATAATATATTGTAGGCTTAGATCCTAACATGTGCTATTGTAATGAACCAGGATGATTTTTTACCTCGAACGACCACCGCTTTGGAAGATGTTTTCAAATCACTCTTCTGGTAAAATATAGTATGTCTTAGTCACCTTTTCATTACTAGTTTCCTGAATAGGGGGTTTCCCTTAGGTTTAATTACTTTAGTTCTTCAAAATGCGATCTTCGAAAATGATTTGATGTTTCCATAACAGGGGCTGGTTTTATTTCTTATGCAGTTTACCATGTCTTTTGTGCCTAACTTGCTTGAAAGACACTTGCATCATGGAGGAGAAGAAGCTTAAAGATCCCAGACGGCTTTATGCCCCCGGACGCCTATACCACATTGTTGAAAGAAGGCCCTGCAGGTTACATTGACAAATTTGTAAATCATTGAACACTATATCATGAATTACTCAGTTTTCTTTTATGCTATTTACAGAAGGGATCAAACTCCCTTAATAATTAATGGTGTTATGTGAATAAACACTCGGATTGGAGTTCTCGATAAAAGAGATTAATAAGTCTAAGACTCCCAGCTGTGGTCAAATAAATATCTTTCGTATCATCATCACATTTATTGGATTGTGATTGATTGAGATGTGCTTAACATGCATTTTTCTTCACCCTGGTTACAGTATAGGAAGATTTCCTCCAGTAGTGAGGACGGCGGTACCGGTGGATGGGAGATTTGACCATATAGTTCTTTCCTGCAATGCTACCTCCGACCATGCCATTATTTGGATAGAAAGAGAGTCCCAAAGAGCTCTTGATGTAAGTTAACAGCTTCTTGCCCTTTAAAATCTTCATGTATCTAAGATAACAAATAAAGCAATTAAAAAAATGTTTCAGCACGGAAGTGGGAGCTTGAATCTTAAACTAGTTGGAGTCAAAATTTTAGGAACCCTGGCTCCTGGGAGGTGCCGGAAGGAACAATATGAATAGCGTCACCAAATTGTGTATTTAGAATCAGGATGTTATGTGTATGATGCCATAAACATATACATAAGCATTTGAGCATAATCAAGAATAAGAAACTAACAAGACAGCAAAAAGTCATATATGTATAGTTTTTCTGCATCTAGTGTACTCTCTTCTACTTGTATCTTGATGAGCTTATTCGTTATTTTTGCATTTAGCCACAAATAAGAAGAATTGACCTGTTAAAGGTGGAATGCTTTAGGTTGGTAGAAATAGGAAAATAGTTTCGTTATTCCAACAAAATATCAAAGCTCACATTCTGTTTATTGTAGTTGATGCTGGAGAAAGACGGGTTGATGCGAGTTCCTGCAAAGCAGAAAATGGTGCGGCAAGAGTCTCTTGCTCGAGAACATAGTGAAGAGCACAAGGCAGCTCTTTATAGAGCAGTTGCTTTGGATATCCCTCAAGCTTACTCGCCTTCCACATACGGAACGTTCAGTGAGATGGAAGAAGCTGAATCTTCTGGTGGATCAAGTGAGAGGTTTCCGAGTTCTCACCTCGGAAAAGATTCGAGAGTTGGAAAGTAAATCAAGCTCGCAGATATGTTCTAGAAATGATTTCCTTTTTTTCCCCCATGTGCACCATGGTTTTTTGCTTGATTACCATGATATGGAATTGTTACAAAGAATGGTAAAAAAAGTTATGTACATAATAGGCAATTTATTTTATCCCAGTAAACATTCATGATTTAGTCTTTGATCAAAACATTCCATGCTGATTTCATTTGTACAGAAAGTGTTTGTTCTATTAACTAGGAATACACTATTCCCTAACATGCAATAATTGTCTAGAGGCAAATGAAAATGGTATATTTTTTAAGCGCTTTCCTACGCCTTGCTATACCTGAGAAATTCTCAGTGAGAATGAAGAACCGCTTCCCCTGCGGTGAAGACTTAATAAATTTTATTTATAACATGAGAAAAATATTGTGTAAGTTTTAAGGGTAAAGCACATAAATGGTCTCCGACTATAGAAGGTTGATTTGTTAAGTCTTTTGATTATTAAAAGTTATAAAATGATCCACCAACTACATAATGTTATTTTGTTATCTCTCCTGATTATTAAAAGTTACAAAATGGTCACTCGACTATTTATTATGTTTCAAACTCGTTATTTTTCGTTAAGAAATTGACGGTTGGCTAAGTTGTATGTTATTATGACAACTGAGACATAATAGTCTTTGAGATTCTAGAATCAGATTTTATCATATCGCAGTCAGCAGATTAACGTTCAACTCTGAATACTGTTAATTTTTTAACGCGAAAAGATGAGTGTGGAACATAATAAATAGTCGGGTGTCCATTTTGTAATTTTTAATAATCGAATAAATCAACACTCTATATTCAGAGAACTATTTTGTAAGTTTTAATAGTCGAATGACTCAATAAAATAATACCCTATAATCGACGGACCATTTGTATACTTTACCCAATTTTTAATTAACTTAGTGTTATTTGATTTAAGATATTTATTTTAATGTCCTTTTTGTTCAGTGTTTGAATCATACCCTCTAATTATAAATTTATAATAATTATAAATATAATTATTTAAAAAAATCAAAAAGCACCCTATTAAAAAAAAGAAAATAACCTCAGTAACCAAAAATCTCAGATAATATACGATTTTGACCAACTTTTTTTGGATTTGCGAAAATGACCAACAAAATCGCAATGCGATCTCTAATTCGCATTGCAATCTCCACTATCGCAAATTCGCGTTGCGATTTTCCATTTCGCGTTGCGATAGTCTACAGTTGTCGTTGCGATTTTCCAAATTCGTTGTGATAGTAAAAAAAAGATTTTATTTCTTAAGAATTTTCTCTAAAAAGATAGTATCCGCGCTTCGACACGTATTACAACGACCACGACTCGAGACGAGACGGACGACGGCGGCGGCAGCGCGCGAGAATCCCCCTTGTTCTCTATCACTCAACAAGGAAGTGGGAAAGTCAAACCTTAAATACCATTCCCAATAGTGTTTCCAATACTATGTGGGATTTGAGCATTACCAACACTTGTTCCCAATACTATGTGGGATTGAGCATATTATTTTTGAATGTTTTGCTTAAAATTGCAATAATCGCGATTGATTGTAGATTGACTTTTAATTATGACATATTTAATCGTATAATACTAATGCAATTGGTTACTGATTCAATTGTTTTAAGGTGCATGATTGTTAATTGTTTCATGAATAATCACATTGTATTGGAAACAAGTGTTGGTAATGCTCAATCCCACATAGTATTGGAAACACTATTGGGAATGGTATTTAAAGCTTGGTTTTCCCACTTCCTTATTGAGTGATAGAGAACAAGGGGGACTCTCGCGCGCCGCCGCGGCCGCCGTCCCGTCTCGAGTCGTGGTCGTGGTCGTTGTAATACGTGTCGAAGCGCGGATACTATCTTTTTAGAGAAAATTCTTAAGAAACAAAATCAAAGTAACGGTGTTCAAGATGGGACTTAGACTAGTTCAAGATGGGAGACTAAAATGTAACGGTGTTAGTTACAAAATCAAAGTAGGTCTAAGGAAAGTCGATTCCAATCATTGGTGGAACATTATCTAGCTAAGTACAATCGATGTCAACATATATTTATGATTCTCAAAAATTCAAGACCAGCAATTTGTGTGGAATGAAATAAGCACCCCCTGCATTTTTTTTATGCTTATTATCTGTGTTTTTACCTTCAGTTGATAATTATGGGATTATGGGACTTTCTCTTTCGCCGCCTAGCTTTCCTCAAAATTCGTTCGGTCTCTTCCTTTGCCTCCTCTATCGAAATGCTTGTTGTGCCATCTTTAAAAAAAACTATGTTAAAAAAAAGAAGATGATAAGAGAAATTAGAACCTTTACACAGCAGCAAGTTATGGAAACAGATATGCATGTTATCCAGTTTGCATCAGTTGAAATGAAAACAATTAAAGGGGAGAAAGATGTATTCCAAACTATTTTGATAGGTATACTTTTTTCTCTAAATTTTCACGAATGTGTTATTTCGAGGAAGATGATGAGTCGGAGCAACATATCCTAAACATATTAGTGTTTGAAATCATCTATCGGTAACTAATAAGCAGAAATTGAATCATGTAGTCTCGTGTTTTGATAAGTGGATACTACCTGTTTCCTTGCCGCTAAGCAAGCAGGAAAACCCTGCATCAATCTCTTCATCTGATTCAATCAAGATTCTGTATGTTTCCTGAATTGAGGATTGTTACTTCAATTGAGCACAAACAACTCAAGGCAGCAAATAAGCTAAAACAATCAAATGGGGAAGGAATGCAAGTCCGTGCAACTCGTTAATAGTGCAAATAAGCTTGAAGAATAGTAGCCGGGGGAAAAGTGGAGGAGAATAATAAAAACAAAGGTGAAGTAAGAATTACCTGTTCCACAGACGAAACTCCTTTCCTCTTGTCGTTTTCTTTGCGGTATGCCCTTTCATTTGTAGCAGGTTGCTTCATTTTTACATATTTCCAGCCTCCTTTGTATACCTCTGGAGCTACCGAGGTTTGCTCATAAACCTTTTGAGGCACAGCTTGTCTAGAAGCAAGAGAATGTTTTAGAATTTTGATGTGAAGACAGTAACAGTAGAGCCAATGGTCCGAGTATTGCGTACTTCTTATCTGCTAATGGTTTGGTTTTTGGTGTTTCACAACAGCCAGAAAGCTGAATGTTCGCAAATAGTTTTACTGAGAAATTCTGTTGTCATTACATGATTTCTTTAAAGATACATAATTATTCAATGAGAACATAAAAGCACCTTAGGTGGAAGACCAGTAGCAACTGGACCATTTTGGACGAGGGTCTTCGCATTGCCAGTGATTGCCTGAAGGTTCCAATACAATGATAATAAAATGCTTTACAAGCTGAGAAACATGACTGACAGAAAATGTTTGAAAATACGGAACAACGAAGTGTTGTTTATATTGGGAAAAGGAAATGATGATTTACTTGAAGAGAATTTCATGCCATTCAAGACCATGGAAATGAATGTATCATTTAAAAGTCTAAATGTTCTATGCATTTTGGAGTTTAACTCTTACAGCATATACATGCCTTTATTTCGTTGGTGAAGGTGTTGCAAAGCTCGTTTTGTAATTTGATTAAAGAAGCTTCCATCTGTTCTGGTAAAGTAGAAAGCACCAAGAAGATGTTTTGTAACTTGTCACCATATATAGCATTGTTTAGTTGATCTGATATAGCTTTCATGCTGCCATCAAGACTGGCTTTGATATCTTCTTGTCCCTTGTTCTGTTTACCAAATCTCAGTTGTCTTAAAATTTCTATATTTATGCATGCTCATAACAAGGCTAGTCAATTTACAAAGTAAAAGAGGAGAGAATGAGGAGTTATTAGTTACCATTAGATGTAGATAGGTAACTTCAGCAATCAACCTCTGCCGCATCCCTGCCACTGAAAAAAAAATTGTAAGGAACTTCATTTAAGTAATGGAAAACTAGGTTTTATTGCCTTACGTCTAATTATATGTGTTATATAATGTTATCCCATATCTTCTGCGTTTGGGTTTCTTATGATTTTGTATTGAAGTTGTGTTTCCTTTCTTTTGCCTAATCCCAGGCAATGTTGTTCATATGCAGTTTATCCTATATGCCTGGTATCGGATACTCTTATATCAGAGTAGGGCTCGCCACATATAACCAATTGGTTTTAAGTCAGATGATTCAACATTGTGTACTAGAATTACGAAAGGTAAAGCTTGGTTTCTTTGTTTACATATATCCTAGAATGACAGGCCTATAACAATCTTATGCGGAGTGCAGACAAACAAGTTACTAATGGTTATAACCATGGCACAATAAGTTATCAACTCTCTGAATTTTGTAACCTCAAGTAACTAAATTACTCACTTTCCAGCAACACTTCTTTTGTTCCTTTGTTCACCTGCATTACACCGCTTTGAACAGAATCTAAGATCATTCCAAATCTGTTCAATGAGGTTTCAATCACTGACATCCGGTGCTCAAGTTCTTCTGAAGTTTGACCTAGTCAAGCAAATAAAAAATTCAGCATCCATCCATTGCTGTACTATAAAAAAATGCAGTGCAAAAGATTCATTAAATGTAAGATCATTAAACTGGTGATACTAAACGTAGTAAATAACTAAATAGTAATCTTACATCGATGCTCTTGAGCAGAAACAGAATTCCATTTGCGCACAGTGGAAGATCTAGAAATCGGCCCTTGACTATCTTCTCTTGTGAATTTGTTTGGAACCAAACAAGAAATCTTGTTGGCAGCATTCTCTCGTTCCTGGGAACCAAATCTCTGCAGAAATGAAGTGCATAATGCATTTTTCTCATAAGAAAAAATAAGGAGATTTATAAACAAACTAGAATGCTGGAAAAAAGGGAGATGAGATTCAACCTGATCAGTTGTCACGATTTCATCGAGTGAGTTTTGTGAAATCTGAGAAAACAAGGCATGCTGAGAAGAAATCCCCTGTGAGAACGATTGTTGTGATGGCTGTGATCTAAGCTGTGATGATTGCGGTACACTCGGTGGCAGGCTTGATCTCCTTCACATATATTAAATAAAAAAAGAGATTCAGATTTTAAATTCAACTCCTAGTTCTTAGATGATGCTAATCTCGAAATTGTCTAGACATGATTTTCTTTGTAAAACAAAATTTTCGTAACTGATTCTTATTTCCCTAAAAGATAGTACGAAAAAACATGAAACTGGAAATTTGAAAAAAAAAATCCCTCTAGTCAAACATGTCTTCAAACAAGAGATTCCTTTCTGTGGAAAACGAAATTAGAAATAGGATCACCGGCTCACCGCTACACTTCCGTATAGAAAGAGAAAACCGCAGAATAAACTCGATTAAACTAATTACAATTTCGTGATGATAGCAAAGTTTCACGAATTAAATAGTTACTGTACGCACTTTCTCGGGAAACAAACGATAAACATTTAAAGTGAAAAGGAACCTTGTATGAGGAGGAAAAACATAGGTGGAGCCAAGATCGCAGGCTTTGTTGATCTTCAACTTCATTTATTCCAGAATCGATTAAATCCTTTAGAGGGAGGAATTCAAGAACCTCATTTAAAGAAGTGTGGTCGTTGGAATTTCAATAAAAAAAATTAGAGAAGAAGGATTTAGTTACAACTTACAAGTGAAAAGCTCTAACAAGACGAAACGCCGATGCTTAAATAGGAGCCATGGATGATGGCGGGAAACCGGAAAAGTCAAAAAGTAACGGGACGGTAGCTTGTTTGTTTGGACCCGAATTCCCGAGCAATTTGATCCGAATCCGTATCCAGAATCTTACCCATCGACCCAATTGGATCCTGCTCAAGTTTTTTTAAAGGTATAATGTTAAAATTAACCCTCAAAATTTATTAAATCAATAATTTGATCCTTATCTTTTCAGAATATTTTATTTTGGGACAAAAATCCCCTCTATGGATGAAAACCGTTAATTAACATAATAATTAACACTCTAAAATAGAAACCTTTTTACTCTAAAATGAAGCGTTAGCCGTTAAGGTCCAAAATGTTCCAAAAATTATGAATCAAAATGATTATTTTGATAAGCTTTAGGAACTAAGGGGATGTTTGTTTACTTCATAATGATTAAGCGTTGAATGATTCAGAAGCTCTGTATGAATTAGCTATGAATGTGACATGTTGTTTGATAATAGCTCTGAATCCTTCAGAATGAATTTTTGTGTTGAATCATTCAGCACTATTTTGCTGAATCAGTCAACACTGAATCATTCAGAGATGCGAAACAAACGCGTTGAATGTTGAACGGTTCAGTATTCAGCGCTGAATACTTCCATTAAGAGACAAACAAACAGCCCCTAAATTTGACAATATATATCTTTTTTAAAATACGATTGGATTTTGAATAGCCTTTTAATATAAAAAAACATGGTAAATTTTATTTAGCCTTAATTTATCCATCGTCCTTTAAATTATATTTGTTTTTTTATTTAAGCGTTTAAATTATTTTTTTTTGATTGCACCAAGCCTTTAAACTATTTTTAGTAAATTTATGTTATTATCTCAACTGGTAAAATGACGATGAATTAAAAAAAGTGTAACTTTATTTTCTCTTCTATTTTAATTTATTGTATTTTTAATTTTTTTAATTTATTTACTGAACTTTTGAACTATTACTGTTTTGGTCACTTTAAATTGTTTTATTATTATTTTCATATGACGTGACATTTATTATTATTTAATATAAAAATAATTTAAAATATAAAATAAAAACAAAAAATGGCTTACACTACCACCGACCGTCTTCTATCATTGTAAATAATGATCGTTTGATCTCAAATTTCATAGGCCGCGTGACAATTTTTAAAAATGTCATGGTCCATTTGGCATTTATAATGCTCAAACCCTATACCTCAATAAATAACAATTCTTTTACCATTGAGTTCACTTAGTTCGTGCTGTTGGGATCAGTTTAGTAGTCCTTCGTATACACGTTTAGGCACTTAAAATCAGCTTAGTTTTGTTGTTATAGACTGCCCAGATTTTCCACTTCAATGATCACGTACTGCTTATACTTGATTACGAACTGATTTAGAAGTACTTAGGGTCAGGTTCTAACGGTGACGAAATAACTAGAAAGCAAACATTACATGCTTCTTCAGATCTACAACCTAAAGGGTTAAAAAAGGCCTTTTCATTTGCTTCTCTACCAGAAACTGAAATCGGCACACATTTGAGGACACTTATTTCTCATGGCTCGTTACCATAATTAATCTTTTTGTTGCAAGGGCTGAAGTTTCACATGCGGACAAGGCCGTTCCGGTTCTCCACTAGTCCACAGAGTCCCGAAATCACCTCTCTTTTTCCCCAGTGTAATAAAGGTCCCTGCGTTCCCGAGCACGCCGTTCATAGTAAGAGAAATCAGATGCATGATGTTCTTAATCTCATAGGCCATAGCTACTTACCGAGTGTGAAGGGAACGATGTAAAGCAATGCAGGTTGGCCGTGTCCGTCCATCATGTTCAAGGCCACATACGTGACCAAAAGACCTGTGGAATGAAGTTTAAGTAGTTTACGAGCCAGAAGTAGCCATTAAAGCGCTTTTTAAGGGTGGTTCTTATTTCTCGATACCTAAACCATAGGCCGTCATTGCCCACACAAAGTAGCCTGTTCGGAGATCCTTATTTGCCAGCCAATCGTATCTGCAAAAATCATCAAAACCATCTGTCAACGAGCAAACAAAACATCGGAAAACAAATTCTTCATTAGGAACACATCTAATTACTGTAACGTTCAGAAAAACATATCGGATTACTATGAAACAAACAATAAAAATATGGCTCAAACGTTCAAACCTTAGAGAAAACGCAACTAGGAGTCCAGGTAAGATTATGTCTCCGAATCCAATAACGCTGTAACCACCCCAAGGATCAAACATACGCGGAATTTTTAGAAGCATCGGTATGCCATCCTCACCACTCCTATCGCCACGAGCTACCTAATATATCAGAAAAAAATAAGGTTGTTCCCTATATGGTCTAACAGGTATACAGAAATAATATCAACCATTATCAGAATTTTGGGCTGAAGAAATAATGCTTGTAATTACTTACCACAATCATCACGCTCTCATGAAACAACTGTTTGGAAGCGAACACCCAGAAGATATCATACAAGAAAGCGCAGCCGAGAAGAACCGTTCCGTCCTGATTCAATAAGAAAAATAAACACCAAAGAGCATAAATAACTTTTCAAGACATTGCAGTTATTCTAGTGTAAATAAACACGGAGAAGACACACGACACATAATAGCAAAACCGAGGTACAAACCTTGAGATTTGGAACACGAACAATCTGAAGGACCGAGATTATAAGAGCAATACCCTGATTGAGAGGGAAAGAAAGGAGGATTAAATATCAGAAGCCCACCATGATAAGAGTGCCAATCAAACTAGTTTCCAAGCATACTGATTCTTAATGAAAAGGAATGTAGCATATGCAAATATAGTTATCAGATACAATACAAGGTACTGAAAACATGCGAAGATAAGAATACTAGAAAAGTGGTCTTACGAGAATATCTTGACCTATCCAGGCAAAGGAGATTCGTCGGTACACTGCCCAAACAACAGCGAATGTGATGCAGAAGGGACAAACAGCTAGCGTCAGATGCGAAACAGCTCCAAAGAAGGGTACTTTAATAAATGATTCAGCAAAGCGTTGAAAACACCTGAAACTATATATATTCAGCTGTCAGTATCAAAGATTAAGCTGCTGACTTCCTTTTGCCATGTATTTCTTAAAGAGGCATCGGTATAATGATGTTCAATTATAGTCCTCAGAAAGCAGAAAAACTAAGATGGTCATGTAAACATGGAAAAAAGAGTCCCTGGGAGGAGTGGGGGGAACGCATACCTTGATAACAAAGTCACCAAGCACATTTGCAGACCCTGGAAGCACAAAAAGAATTGCACAGACAGTAAAGATTCTGTCTTTAATGAATTATGTTGACCATTTTGATAACTTTTCAACTACCAATAAAGACGGAGGAAATAAGCTACACTGAACTAAGCATACAAATGTATAGGGAAAGGCGCACCTCTACTCCACCGATGCAAAACAGAACCACCAGGACCTCAACAAACCAGAATGACATAAGCTTATAAAGCATGACCAAGAAACATGAAGAAAACACAACAAAGAGAATTGCTGACATTGTATTTATGTCAACAAAACCACTTGAACCAGCACTTCCCACTTGTATAAATTCTTCTGATGCATCCTGCGCAAAATCACTCAGCACATCATCGGGCGAATGAACGAATACTATTGAATTTAACAAAGAGTGCATGCAAAATTGCTTTTAAAACAAACCTTTAGTAGCTTATCTTGCTCAATAGCAATTTCTCTTGCAGTCCATCCAGACCAATAAGAAGCAAGCAAAATGGTACCAACCGCCATTAGCCACAAAAAGACTTCAGCAATATCAACTGCTGGACGCTTTGGGGAGTAAAGCGCAACAGAAACTACATAAAGATGAAAAGTGCAGACAATTTATAATTCAATCCCGACGTGATTCCATATGAGGTATTACCAAGCAAGGAAAAAGCGTAGAAGAGATTATCATTTTTCCCGAAGAACAAAGAGGACGGTAATGGGGAAGAAAGAAAGACATACCCTGTGTGCTATTATTTATATATTTTTCCAAATTGGAACCAGCATCCTGAGGAAGCATGACAGCTGGTATTTTTATATTTACATCAGCATCTGATTCACAAACCATCTTGAAGAGTTCTGTAGAACAAGATTAACTGGTTCAGTATTTAGAAAGCAAAAATAAGTTTTGGGCTGTTCATAACTGCTCATAATTGTAATTGGTAACTATAATAAATTCTATCATTTTTAATATAACATTTCCCATCTTTTAATGGCTCAATGATCGAAAATGATATCAAAACAGCTGCATAGAACATTTGGATGGATAAACTGATTGATATTTACAAACATATCACAAAAAAAGGCAATCTTATGAGTAATTTCCGATTGCAGTTTCAGTCGAATTGACATTTGACATGTTTCATGATGATGGCTATAGTTGTAAAATGTAACGATACCAAAGACAAAAATATATCCACAAAATTTCTTCAAATTTCCAACTTGAAGCAATAATTTTACCACGTATTCTGCACAGAATATCTTCTTTTCCTCTGGTTAAGCAACAAAAAATTTACTATAAAATGAAGATCTATCCATCAAGGCAATACCTACATGCATTGGATGTGGGGTAATTTTTACTCCACAATACCATCAAAATGGTCAAACTGTTAGAGTCGCATAAGTGGTCAAAGGACATCAGATACCTGTTTGGTTGTTTATAATGAGGATAGCAGAAGCACCAGCTTCTTCAGCAACATTTGTCTTCACTGTGAAACTACAGTTACCTCGATGCACCAGAATGACCTCCCCTGTAAGCTACCAACAGACAAGATAATTCAAAATTATGGAGTAAAGGAACAAGTGAAAATCGATCAGATGAAAGCACATGCACATGTCAGACAGAATAAATCAAGTAGCCAAATTGGGTGGACATTGTAAAAAGATCAAAATTCGAAAACCTGATTCCTAGGCTTGCTGCAACAGTCAGGAGGGTCTGCAAGAGCAAGCCTGATATGATTTGCATCTTTCTCCTTCGATTCCAAAGTAAGTCCAAAACGTGCACCAACACCAACATACTCATTGTTTTCTATACCATCAATACAGATTGGGACTTTTACCTACAAAACATATTTGTATCAAATCTAATATGCTAGGTCCATATTCATAATTTTGAAAACAATATACCAAAGAATATGATTAAACCAAGAAAAGATATATGAATAAACTGTTAGGAAATAAACCGAGTACGAGTAATTTCCCTATAACCAGATTAGTGAGAATGCGAAATAAAAGCGGAAAAATAATACCCGAAATTGATAACGGAGTTCAGCCAATTGTGCTTACGTCTCCGGGCTGCTGCAGATCTTTTACTAAGAGAAAATTTACAGGTGTTTACACAACACACTTGATAGAGAACTAGAAGATTTTGGGATGATTTTGAAGCTAAATGAGCTAGGGTATTTATAGTTGAAGCTTAGGACTAATCTTGTAAATACCCTAAAGTGTGCAATGGCTAAAAAGGTAATTAACCCATTTACAATTTCAATAAAATATTGGGGCACCGAATTCGGTGCCCCTTTTGTTGAAAATGAATGTGTTGTGCCCCCCCAATTTTGAAAATTTCTGCTGAAAACAATTCAGCTGGGCCCCACCTTTGATTACTTTCAACAATCTCCCACTTGAAGATTGATTTTAATGTCTTCACACCTCGATCAGTGCAGCAGTATTTTTAGTCTTGTTATTCTAGCATGCCAACTAAAGCTGAACACAACTTCAGTTTGTCTGTGGTCACCGTCTTTGTCAACATGTCTGTCGGATTTTGAGCTCCACTAATCTTTTCAAGTTTCAAAATCCCATCTTCCAGAAGAGACCGAATAAAATGATATCTCAATTGTATATGCTTCGTTCTGGAATGAAAAGACGGATTCTTTGCTAGATGGATATATCACTTTGATTGTCGCAATACAAAATATTGTTTTCTTGTTTCTTGCCTAACTCTTCCAAGAAACTTTGGAGCCAAACCATCTCCTTGCTGGCTTCCGTAACAGCGACATATTCTGCTTCAGTTGTGGAGAGAGCAACTATCTTCTGTAGTTGAGAAACTCAACTCACTGCAGTACCTCCTAGAGTATAGACATACCCTGTAGTGCTCCTTCTGATGTCAACATTTCCGGCTAAGTCAGCATCTACATAGCCTGTCAGTATCGTATCTCCATCTTTGAAACAAAGTGTTTTGTTTGTGGTACCCCGCAGATATCTGAGGATCCATTTGACTGCTTCCCAGTGTACCTTGCCTGGATTATTCATGTACCTACTAACAGCTCCCACTGCATGAGCAATATCTGGTCTGGTACAAACCATGGCATACATCAGACTTCCAATTGCTGAGGCATACGGCACCTTCACCATGTGTGCACGTTCTTCCTCCGTCTTTGGTGATTGGTCTTTGGAGAGTCTGAAATGAACACCTAAAGGTGTACTTACTGGTTTAGCATCTTGCATGTTGAACCTGGAGAGTACTTTGTTGATGTACTCAGCCTGTGATAACATCAAAGTCCCCGACTTTGTGTCTCTCTTGATCCTCATCCCAAGAATCTGCTTTGCAACGCCCAGATCCTTCATAGCAAACTGCTTCGACAATTTTTGCTTCAAGTGTATAATCTCTTGCATGTTTGAGCCTGCAACGAGCATGTCATCAACGTACAACAATAAAATAATGAAGCTATTGTCGAACCTCTTGATGTAGCAACAATGATCTGCTTGGCATCTGGTAAAACCACTGCTACCCATGAAACTATCGAACTTCTTGTACCACTGTCTAGGAGCTTGTTTTAAACCATATAAGCTCTTCTTCAACCTGCATGCCAGGTTTTTCTTGTCTGCCTCTATAAAGCCTTCTGGCTGCCTCATATAGATTTCTTCCTCCAAATTACCATGAAGAAAAGCTGTCTTTACATCTAACTGCTCAAGATGTAAATTCTCTGCAGCTACAATTTTCAACACCAGTCTGATTGTAGACAGTTTTACTACTGGAGAGAAAATTTCATTGTAGTCAATACCTTCTTTTTGCTGAAAACCTTTGACTACCAATCTTGCTTTGTAGCGTTTGCTCCAATCGTGCTCTTCTTTGATCCTGTAAATCCACTTGTTGTGGAGCGCTTTCTTGCCTGGTGGTAATTCAGCTAATTCCCACGTCTGATTTGATATAAGCGAGTCCATCTCATCTTTCATGGAAGACTCCCACTTGAATGAATCATCCACCTGCATCGCTTCATCATAGCACTCTGATTCACCATTGTCAGTCAGCAACAAGTAGTGCAAAGAAGGCGAATACCGGTGGGTTGGTTTAGGAATTCTGGAGGAGCGTCTCAGTTCTGGTGTGCCTGGTTCTTCCTCTTGAACTGCTTCATGACTGATCTGAACATCATTTCCAGAAATCTCCTCGAACTCAGCAAATTCCTTTGTTTCAGCTTCAGTATTACTTGATTCTGCGGTTGACCTGTCTTTGTACATCACATTTTCATTGAAAATAACGTCTCTGCTTCTGATGATCTTTCGATTTTTGTAGTCCCAAAATCGGTAACCGAACTCATCACCACCGTAACCAACAAAGACGCATTTGTTGGACTTAGCATCAAGTTTACTTCTTTCAGCAGAGTTTATGTGTACATAAGAAATACAACCAAACACTCTTAAGTGTGAAAGGTTTATTTCTTTTTTGCTTCAAGCTTCCTCTGGTATTCCGCCATCCAAAGGAACTGAGGGCCCACGGTTGATCAGGTAAGCTGCAGTGTTGATAGCTTCATCCCATAGAGATTTGGGCAATCCGGCATGTATCCTCATGCTTCTGGCACGTTCATTCAGAGTTCTGTTCATGCGCTCTGCTACGCCATTCTGCTGCGGTGTTATGGGAACTGTTGTCTCCATCTTGATCTCATTGTTTGTGCAGAAATCTCTGAATCTACTGTCTCTGTACTCTCCTCCATTGTCAGACCTCAATCGCTTGACTTTCAAACCAGTCTCATTTTTCACCATGGCCTTCCATTTTCTGAAGGTATCAAAGACTTCTGATTTCTTCTTCAGAAAATAAACCCATACCTTCCTTGTTGAATCATCGATGAAGTTGACATAATATAGTGAGCCTGCAAGAGATGGAACTGGGGATGGTCCCCATAAATCAGTATGAACCAATTCTAACCTTTCTGCCTTTGGAGTCTTGTCAATATTCGTAAAGCTGACTTTCTTTTGTTTGCCAAAGATACAATCCTCACCTAGTCCGACATCTACATTCTTTAGATTCGGCAGCTTCCCTTTTGACAAAAGGGTCTTCATCCCTTTCTCGCTCATATGGCTAAGCCTTTGGTGCCATAAGTTTGATTTTCCGTCAGCATCTGCTACTGCAATGATATTCTCTAAATTCGAGGTTACATAGAGAGTACCAGTCTTCTTACCACGAGCAATGACGAGTGCTCCTTTGGTAATCTTCCATTCACAACCTGAAAAGGTTGTACTATAACCTTCTCCATCAAGCTGTCCAACAGAAATCAGATTTCTTTTGAAGCCAGGAATATGTCTCACTCCTGTCAGCTTCCAGGTGGTCTGGTTTGGCAGCTTTAGTCGGATGTCTCCTTTTCCGACGATCTTCAAGGTTTCATCATCAACAAGATGAACCTTCCCAAAATCACCACTGATATAGTTCTCCATGATTTCTTGGCATGGGGTGGAGTGGAAAGATGCCCCTGAATCCAAGATCCACGATTCAATTGGACTGTTGACGCTTAGAATCATGGCATCACCTGTCTCCTCTATCATGTTGGCAGATTCCTGTGCGCCGGTATTTTTCTTCGGTGCTCGGCAATCTCTTTTGAAGTGACCCTTCTTGCCGCAATTATAACAGGTAAAATCTTTATTTCCTGTTCTTTATTTTCTCCTTCTGGATTTCGATCTGCCACGATTTGAATTTCTTTCTGAAGTTCTCCCTCTGGACTCCGTGTGCAAGGCTGAGGAGGTTGATGCTTCACCCGATTCTCTCCGTCGAATTTCTTCGCTCAATACCAGATCCCGAACATCGTCGAATTTCAATTTGTTGTTCCCCGACGAGCTGCTGACTGCTGTAACAGTAGTATTCCAACTGTCTGGTAGAGATGATAAGAGAATTAAAGCTCGAACTTCATCATCGAACTCAATTTCACTGAACTCAATTTAGGTGTTGTGCCACCGATGCCCCTTCCACCATCCGCAAATTGAATAATCACCTCATAAAATGAACTTTGTTTGAGACCGATGGCTTCTCATACATACTAGAGAGAGCAACCATAATACCCGCCGTGGTCTTTTCCTTTGCTATGTTGAAAGCAACATTGCGGGATAACGTCAGTCGGATAACTCCGAGGGCTTGTCTGTCGAGAAGAGCCCAGTCTTCATTCTTCATGCCCTCTGGTTGTTTTCCTGAGAGGGGTTGATATAGATTTTTCTGGTACAGAAAATCTTCAATTTGCATCTTCCAAAATCCAAAGTCCGCACCATCGAACTTTTCAATTTTCACCTTCCCTTCGTCTGCAGCCATCGCTCCCACTCGAATATGGCTTCGTTTGGATCGTTTCTGACAATTTCTGCGAACCGCCGTGTATTAGAACACCTCCGTCGACAAACTCGTATCGCCGACCGAATTTTACTATTCACGAAATTTACTATTCACGTGAATAGTAACCAGAATAGTAACCTTGCAAAAAATTGACAGAATTCACAACAAAAAAAGCTCTGATGCCAGTTGTTAGGAAATAAACCGAGTACGAGTAATTTTCCTATAACCAGATTAGTGAGAATGCGAAATAAAAGCGGAAAAATAATACCCGAAATTGATAACGGAGTTCAGCCAATTGTGCTTACGTCTCCGGGCTGCTGCAGATCTTTTACTAAGAGAAAATTTACAGGTGTTTACACAACACACCTGATAGAGAACTAGAAGATTTTGGGATAATTTTGAAGCTAAATGAGCTAGGGTATTTATAGTTGAAGTTTAGGACTAATCTTGTAAATACCCTAAAGTGTGCAATGGCTAAAAAGGTAATTAACTCATTTACAATTTCAATAAAATATTGGGGCACCGAATTCGGTGCCCCTTTTGTTGAAAATGAATGTGCTGTGCCCCCCAATTTTGAAAATTTCTGCTGAAAACAATTCAGCTGGGCCCCACCTTTGATTACTTTCAACATAAACAAAAGCAGCCTTTCTAACTTTAAAGGGAAGTGAAGAAGAAAATGAATTATGGAGTATATACTTTAGACTATTTTGTCTTTTTCCTTGAACTATATGTGATTAACTCCCATATCCAATGCATTTGGGGATATATGACCCTTCAAGGACCTTCCATAATGACCCTCCAAATAAATGAAAAGACTATAAAAATTAAAGGTACCCATATCTAACATTCACACCAAAGTCGAACTAACACACCTACTCAATTATGTCAAAATCACTATTTAGCTTAGTTTAAACAAGTTTTCCCTTTTAATGCATGAAAAGCAATAAAGTTAATATATTTCCTCCCAGCCTCAATAACCAAATAAGAAAAATAAAAAGGTTTAATTTTGTCTCCACTCCTCTGTCATGGTTGGGGGAGAAGAGGAGAAGCATGTGACGAATGGCATTGAGGATTTAGAAAATGTATTAGGGTTTGCGAAAGAGAAGAAAAAAGAATTAGGGATTAAAAATTCTGAAATTGAGGGAGAAGGAAATGGATCACCTGATATGCTGGCAGATAAGATGAAGCTAGATAAAGGATGCCCAACAGTAATTCAATTGGCAGCCCAAGAGAAGAATTTGCCCCAGCTGTCAAGCAAACGTTAGCCTTAGAATACTATAATTATATAAAACCATGTACTAAATAAGGAGAAAATCATGCTCTGATACTAATTTGTTATAACCCTAATGTGATCAGAGAAGAAAAATAGACGAAGAAGTGAGAAAAGCGGTAAACGAAGAATTAAGAGAATAAAGATTAAGGAGAGAAACGAAGAGACTCAAAACCAATATGTTATGACCCTAATGTGATTAGAGAAGAAAAATAGACAATTTTTTATGACCCTTGTGTGATTAGAGAAGAAAAATAGACGAAGAAGAATTAAGAGAATAAAGATTAAGGAAAGAGACGAAGAGACTCAAAGAAGTTTAAAATTCATTTAATCAAAGCATGATTTTCTCCTCCTCTAGTACATGGTTTTATATAATTACAGTGTACTAAGGCTAGCGTTTGCTTGACAACTAGGGTAAATTCTTCTCTTGGGCTGCTAATTAAATTATTGTTGGGCCTCCTTTCTCTAACTTCATCTTATCTGCCAGCATTAGGTCTATAAATGAACTGAATGTTCAGCGAACCGTTCATGAACCGTGCGGCGGAAAATTCGTTTGTGTTCGTTTATTTATTAAATGAACGAACATGAACAAGATTTTGCATTCGTTTAATTAAATGAACGAACACGAACAAAGTACTCGTTCGTTTATTTACGTTCGTGAACGTTCGATTATATGTTCGTTTATGTTCGTTCATTTATGTTCGTTCATTTATGTTCATTCATTTATGTTCGAACAGAGGGCAAGTTTAATATGTTACGAAGATTATTGAAGTTGTTTAGATTTCAAGAATATTATTTTGTTGAATAAATTAACTTTAAGACTTTATTATGTTCATATAGTTTATTTATGATTTATGTATATTTTTGTCGTATTCGAACAAATTAACTCTAAAGTTGCAGGTTATATTAATAAATTTTAAGTTGTTATTCTTGTTGTTTACTTTTTTTTACATTCATTTGTTATGTTCAAATAAGTTTGTTTTTTGTGTTTGTGTTGTTCGTTTATGTTCATTCGTTTGTGTTCGTTTATGTTCGTTTATCATTTAAATGAACAAACATGAACAAATTATATTCCTTAATGAACGAACATAAACAAAAAAAAATTGTTCGTTTATATTCGTGTTCGTTTATATTCGTTTATTTATTAAATGAACGAACATGAACATACCTCCGTTCGTGTGCGTTCGGTTCGTTTACAGGCCTAGCCAGCATATCAGGTGACCCATTTTCTTCTCCCTCAATTTCAAAATTTTAATCCCTAATTCTCTTTTCTTCTCTTTCGCAATCCCTAATTCATTTTCTAAATCACCAATGTCATTTGTCACATGCTTCTCCTCTTCTCCCCAAACCATGACATCCTCCTACTCGGACTTTTGAAATTTAGTCCCTCTACTTGTCAGATTTAAAATTAAAGTCCAATTGATAACACCATTAATGAAATTTTGTTAAATTTGAATGAATGGAATCCTAATATTCAAATGTCTGATTCAAAATTTAGAGTCTAACTGATAAAATATATTCTAATCTAATGAAATTCAATCAATAACGTTATCAATTGGTCTTTAATTTTTATATAGAGAAGCTGAGGGACTAAATTTTAATGAAATTCAAAGATATGATTCAAAATTTAGAGTCTAATTGATAAAACATAGTCCAACTTAATGAAATTCAATCAATAATGTTATCAATTGGTCTTTAATTTATAAATCAGAGAAGCTGAGGGACTAAATTCCTGGAACTAAAAGCAGATAGACTAAATTTTAAAAGGTCAAAGAGTACAGGGGAATAGTGGCACAGTTAGACCAAATCCACTAAATAAACCATTTCCATCACGATCAATCCACAAAAATAAGCCTAAAAATACAAAATTCCCACCATTTTCTCAGTAATCAAACAGGAAGAACTAAAAGACAAAGTCATAATTTGAAGTGAATGAATCCCAAAAAAAATTAACTAGTTATAAAATCTGATAAAACATAAACTAAAATCAAGAGGAAAAAACTAGATTCTTTCATCGCCCCTCCATTTTCTCAGCAACCAATCAGACAAGAATGAAGAAAAACAAGTAAAAAAAAAGGAAAGCTAAGATGGTGAAGGAATACCAGAACAAAGTTATTAGCACAGCCAGGTCTTTTTGGAGCAACGTTGTCCTGGTGAACTATGTCCCCAGCTGAACTCAACCCAGCACTCAAAACTACTATCAAAATTAATATCAATAACCCAAGAGTTATTTCCATATTTGGAAAGATTCACCATAAAGAAAACAAATATAGAGATGTTCTTGTGGTTTTTCTGTTCCTTTACTACTAATTCAGAGAATTAAAGAAGAAGAAAAGAAAAACAGATACAAGGTACAGACGAGGAAGCAGGAAGGAAGGTAGGGGACATATCACTTTTTATTTATTTGTTTTTAAACTTTGGGTGGGTTTTCGTTCTGTTCTGAGGCCCGGACATGAAATTAACACCTAGTGGGAATGCCTTTGTACTCTTTTTCTGTGCTCTTCACGCTCTTGTCCAAGTGTGCATTTCACGCTGCTACCATTTTTGGTACATAATGTAGAGCAAAATTATTGTACAAAATTAAGGGTTAACTACATCATTAATCATTTATGCTTGTTTTTTATATACTTTTTCTCATTAATTTCAAAAATTATAATATATGATCAATTTTATTTTTATTTAATTAATATTTAAATATTTTATTATAATCATATATTTGATCTATGTTATGTACATATATCTTAATTTAATCATACTTTTAAGGGTAAACTATGAGAGTAACCATCCAATTATAGTCTCTTTTCATTTTGACCATTATTTTTGAATTTTTGTCAATCAGGTCACCTAACTATTTAAAATCATTTAATCATGTCGTTTGTCGACAGTTAATAAAATTAGTATAATTATATATTTGGTCACTCTTATTTATATATTCTATTAATTTAGTCTTAATTTTAATAAATTAAAATAAAATTAATCTTTCAATGGGAAATTCTATTTCATGATTAAATTTATTTATTTATTTAAATTTAATTTTGATGGTGCCGATGACCTTCTCGGCGTCGCCGTCGATAACCGCTTCTGCTTTAACACTACCGCGGACATACTGGTTTTCCGTATTTCTTGCTCCTTCAGTAACTCATCTCCCATCATCTCTAGTATCTTCAATTTCGTCGCCTCACTCCTATTTTTTCCTTTGAAGATATGAGATTACACGTTTCTTTGCGTAAACATCTCCTTTGTAATGCTTATTACGGCATCGTTTTTACATTTTGGATGAATATTGGGAGTCGTTGTCAAGTTCAACCCATTCCCCTGAATTCCCACGTTGTTGCTTCCGTTTCCACTTTCTCCTAGTGCCATTGAAATTGCTTGATCAACCTATAAAATGAGTATATAAATGCTAGTGTTCGTTAATTTTGGTCATGGAAGCTTTAGCTTGCTTATGATTAATATATTTTGGATTCTGTGTATTTATTGAGCTTGATTTTGGTACTTACGATGTCAAAAACACCTTCGTCGGCAATTCTAGGAAACTTTGTTCGTGTCGGAGTAAGAGTAACGTCGTCGGAACATAAACTAGGCTTTCCGTTCCCCAAAGACAACACCAATAGATCCTCTACTCCGTTGGAATACGGGAATTCCTGCTTATTATTCAGCACGTGTGTTATCGCCGCCCCTAGGGTTGTTCATCGCTACCCCACCTTCCACCGCCAGGATCTTCGTTCTCTCATCGACCGATCTCACTTTCACCGCACCCACCACCGTAGGATCAGCCGATGTCACGTAGCACACGTCCTTCATCTTGAAATCAGAGTAATCCATTTCTAATGCATCAGCGTGGGAAAACAAGAACAACACTTTGGAACAAAGATCGTAGCAGGGTATCAAAATCGACTTCATAGTATCCTTCAAGGTCAGCTCCTCAAAGGTTCTACCCAACAGCTTCTTCACCCCAGATGGAGAAAAAGTCGACAGAATAACCCTTGAGGGGAGGAGGGAAACAGTTTCCACCAGTTTTTCACGAGGAAATGAAGAGCTTAGTCGGCAGTAAAAAGTGAGTGTCATTTTCAGCCCGAGTGAACAGTAGCGATAATATATATATATATATATATATATATATATATATATATATATATATTATGTAGTCTATTTTAAACCAAACTAATAGCTTGGCCAACGGCTGGTCTCTTTTCTTCTTACCCAAGAAACCTGGGTTTGATTCCTTTGCCCCCTCTTTTTTCTTTTCACCATAGGGTGATATGTGCCACTTTTGATTGGTAGAAAATAATTATATTAAATTAAAATAAATAAGTAAATTTAATCATAAAATAGAATGGTAGCATATGACACCATCTCATTGGAAGATTAATTTTATTTTAATTTATTAAAATTAGGACTAAATTAATAGAATATATAAGTAAGAGTGATCAAATATGTAATTATATCAATTTTACTAACTGTCATGTTGTACTTTCGTTAACTGCTAACGTCAAGTGACCTGATTGAATACATTTAAATAGTTGGGTGATCCGATTGACAAAAATTTAAAAATGGTTGTCAAAATAAAAATAAGCTATAGTTGGGTGGTCACTGGTATAGTTTACTCTACTTTTAATAAATTAAAATAAATGTAGTCCTCTCATCTTTAAGAAAATGATGAGACATGGCTCTAGCAAAGTTTTTTTTATAGAATCAATTAATTTTATTCAAAATATGAAATATCTCAAGTTACAATAAAGATTTACAATCATAATCGTAAATTAAATACATACTTAGAAAAATTTCTTATAAATATTGAAACAAAACTAGTAACTTAAAATTACATAAGGTCCATACAAGGAAATATTAAATCTAACCAAGAAACTCGAACAATGATAGATACAATAAGATCTGATCGCATCGGTAAACGAACCATAAAATGAGATCAGGCTATTGAAAGACTATTGATAAACCACAAATTAGACTTGAACAACATGAAAAGCTATCCACAAATGCAAATCGAGTATACAAATCCAATCTGATTGACAATGATAGGTACAATATATTAAATAAACATCATCTTGATCAGTCGTGACGATGTCAAATCAATCCTTAGAATAAGAAAAATATGAAAAACAGCCAAATAAAAAAAACATAAGAAAAAGTGTCACAAAGGCATGTGAAAATGTACATCACAGGCAAACCTATTGAAAAAAAATAAATATATAATATATATAAAGAAAAATACAATAATGAATATTGATGGTCGGCAATCAACGTTAAAGTTTGTGTCACCACCAATGAACAAAAAACAATAAAAAATATATGAGTGATACATCAATGAAAGAAAATTAGGTTAAGTTCAATTTACATGGCACTCACAAAGTTTATCAGAGTTGAAGCGAATGATGACACATGTACCTAATCATTGAACAAAAACCAATGCTTAATTTAAAATAGACAACATGATATATATATTTTATATTTTATTATATAAATACTTAACTTAAATTCATAATATATATATATATATATATATATATATATATATATATATATATAACCACCAATATCTGATCTATTGATCGATTAATCCGGATCGAGTACTGCAAAAGCAATGGCAACCCTCCCAACCTAGTTTACTCTATTCGCAATCGTCATGATTCGAACCATTGACTTTGCTTAAGGGATATAGTACCTCATCCCACTATACCAACTAATTGTTGGTATATTATATATATATATTAAATTTAAGAAATATTTGTTATATAACTTATTAAATATATTTTATTATTAACTTGATTTAAATTATTTTATTTTAAATTTAATTTAAAATATATTTTTATATTTGTATATAACTTTTGAAAATATATTGTATTATTATTTTAACTTTTCAAAAATTATATATTTTATCTTAATTTACTAAATATATTATATCTTTACTTTAACTTGTTAAATATATTTTATTCTTATCTTAACTTTAAAATATTTTCACATAAAATATATATTTTTAAATTAAAATAAAAATAAACTATTTTTAAATTAAGTTAATAATAAAATATATTTGATAATCTAATATAAAAATATTTTTTGAAGTTAATATATATATAATATTATAAAATTAAGTTAGATATTTATACACTAAGATGTAAAATATATAGATCATTTTGTTTCTTTTAGACCAAGTATTGACTTGGCTCGATAGTTGGTATATATTTGGTTTCCCAAGTGACTTAAGTTTGAATCCCTTTGACCTTGATTTGCTTTAGATTAAGTATTGACATGTGTCACCTTCTTATTGGTGGAAAATGACATGTGTCACTATTCAATTGGAAAACTAATTTTATTTTAATTTAATAAAAATATAACTAAATTGAGAGAATATGTAAATAACATTGACCAAATATGTGATTATACCAAAATATTTAATTATCATGTCACCTAACTTGTTAACTGTTAACAAGGTTAACTCGTGGTGATCAATTGTGTAGTTAACCCTTTTATTAGTATATAATTAACTACTATGAGGATTACAAAAGAAATTGAAATAGAATCAGAAAATATATATTGTGTGTATTATTAATTTTAAATTAATATAGTTGTTATAGTTATAACTATTATTATCTTATTTTTTAATTGATAATCTATATTAAGTATTAAGTCTAATATGAAGTGATTCTCTTAATTCAATTTACTTTATTCATAAACGATAAAATCGAAATCTTTAATTATATTAGATAAATTTAATATTTCGTCTCATTCATAATAATTTTTAATAAAAAGGAAAAATATAGAGAGAAATTGGAGGCCACAAACAAGGGAATTATTCTTTTTTCCATGTTTAGTGGTGAGAGTTAGGGATGGGCATGGGTCGGGTTTCGGCAAACTCGATATGACCCGAAAATTTTATATCATTCACCCAATCCGACTCGATCCGAAAAATATATTCATTTCACTCGATCCGAATTCGACCCGATTTTTTGAGAGAAAATCCTAAACTGACCCAACCTGACCCGAAATAATAAAAAATATTTTTATTCAATAAAAATATTAACTTAATTGAGAAAAATAATATATAGAAGGGTATTATTGTGATTATTTTTAAATATATAAAGTAAAATTATTTTTTTTTCAGGTCGAGTCGAATATTTTTCACCCTAAACCTGAATCTGATCCGATTCGAACATTATATTTTTTAAAAATTCGACCCTACCCGACTCTAATTTTTTTAAAAATATTTTACCTGATATGATCAGATCGAGTCGGGTCGGAATCCGTCGGGTTCGGTCATGCCCATCCCCAGTGAGAGTGGTTGAAAAGGGTGAAACGCGTGGGAGAATTACAAATTGGACTTCAAAGGTTACCGG